ACACCCACACCCCATCTCACACTCATATCCACACTCACACACCCTCACCCACACCTCGTGCAAGCAAACAAGCAAACTTGTTTTAGTTTTTTTCATATGATCCTCCCTTCAGTTGAAGGAATAAGAAAAAAGAACACTCAAAAGCTCTTGCTTTCTTCGGAAAAAAAGTCTTTCGATTAATCATTGTCTTCTATATATTTTGATCTTACTTTCACATTTAATAATGTGGAACTTATTCTCGATGATCTCAAACGATGTAAGGAAGAATTTGACCACGTCAAAGGAGCTATCGACATAGATCAAGAATGCTTTTTGTTTAATGTTGCTTTTTAGAATTATCTGACATTTCTTTCTAGTACTTTAATATTTAACATTTGGTGAACGATGCATAAGATTCTTTTCTTCGCTTCTGATATAAAGAAAGTTCATTCGCGAGATCTATCTTTTACGATCATGCATTAGCTACGTGATGAAAATTTTTCATTTTATAAACAGAATCAATAATATTCCGTATAATATCTAACATGAAACAATTGTGAGTCCGCAAAAAAATGTAAAAGTAGAATATAAAAAATAACTTTGCCTCGATGGTGATCATAAATGGAAAAATAGTACTAAGGCCGCTGAAGTGACATTCTGACTTTCCCTCGAATTCTATAGTTATCAAAATTCACAATCATTCTTACCTATAATATTGTTAACGGGAGACTTATTGTAACTGATGAATAATCAACGTCTAATTTTATTTTGAAAAATATTCACTATATACATGTGAAAATCCAAAAGGTATTGGGAAATAATCATGAACAAGAGGGAGAAAACCCGAAGATGAGAAAGAAACATAAGCGAGAGAGGAAAATATTTGAACTGTGTCAAAAGAAGAGAAATATCCAAGTGATAGAAAGAAAAGAAAAAAGATGCATATGTATGTCGTACGTGTCATCCGTATGACAGTAGAATACAGAAAAGAAAGAAAGAGAAAGAAAGAAATATTCAATATAAGTGAATCACACTATAACATCACAATATAACAAATATCATTCGTCGACGATTAATATTATTCTCACACATAATTGTCTTTTTTATATAAGAGAAATCTGGGGATGTATATCAATTGACAGGATGTATTATTTACAATCCGTAGTATTCATCTAAAGTATTTTCTTTCTTATCTTCCTTTGCAAGCATGTTATCTTCTCGGACTATATTCGTTTTATGTTGGAAGAAACCATGCGCTATGTATCATGTAGTAAAATGTATTACTCATGACTCGTATGCTTGCGAATGCATCCTCTTTATTTCTCAAGACGGAAAATTCCGATGTATGTTTCCTACTCAGATAGTATAAAGGAGCCTCGCAGAAGAAACGAGTAAATCACAAGCAAACGTAACTCAGCTTCTACTACAAACACAATTGCTGCTGCTAGAATACCGATAAGAAATGTCGCACAACTCGCGATCAACAAATGAAAAGGATTCTCGAGAACGAATAAACACATACAGTCCTACCCGCAAGTAAGCTTTCAACACAGCAAAATATGTGAATGATATACCTCGTTGTCAATCACCTGACCGCCAATACAAAGTCAAAGACAAAGATACTAACGAAGACCTTCGTCAATGGGAATTTACAAATCTTAAGGGTCAGAAGGTCGATATTCGGGAAGATAAACCAAAGGACTATGCTGATGGGGGAAAACAAAGTGGACATTTTAACGCAGGGGAGTCCGGTAGCAAACTTAACAAACAACATCATTCCTACGACAAGAAATAGCAGTGTTTTAGTTTATGTGCTTTTCCTTTAGTTTAAATAAACAAGAAAGAACCTTTATGCCATTAGAATGGTTTTTTGCTTCAGAACCAGTAGAGCAGTGGAATATGTTCTTCTTTTCTTGGTTTCGTGTTTGGGTTGACTCTATCTTTTAGCATACATAATTAAGAGAACATGCATGGATGGGTGTGAGTGTGGGTGGAAAATTGAATATGCGCACCCACACTCAGACATGCATTTTGAGCAATCTCGAAATTAACCGATTCAAAGAAAATGTCACCTGCATATGTTTCATGAAAATTTGTGCAGATTAATAATGAATTTACAAATGTAAGTTCAACTTCATCTCCATCAAGGAATGCACATCTAAAATCAACATCATCCATAATAGCTTCATCGAACAAGAAGCCTTGGAAATGGTTTTTTCGAAAGAATACATTAATGAGATGGGTATGTGACAGTACAATAGCGTCGGTGCTCGCATGGACAGTACACTCATGAGGGCATTCAGCGTCATCAACTTCGCTGATCCCTAGAGGCAAACCGAATAAGAAAAGAACATCGTGCGGGATTAAGCTGACTAAGTGCTGTTAATGTTTTGAAGGAAGCTAGCAACGTGTTTGATTCAATGCTGTGCCATATTTTTCGAGTAGATTAGCAAGGAAATTTTGATAGTCAACAAGAGTATTTTCTTTTTTTTTGATCACCTGCAAGCTATTCATCTTTTGCTCGATTACGATCCGCAATTTCAATATCTTTCAAACGATTCTCGATAGCAATGCTTAAATCGTTTCTATTTTGCTCACTTTGCCATTGATTTTGCATGATGGTAAAAATACCGATAGCTATGGAAGCGCAGACAGTGGCAGTAAGTTGTATCTATTCAAACCACGATTGCAAATTACTGTTATTTTGACTCATCAATATGCTAATTGATGTTTTCAATCGTATTTGTTTTGTTGACACACATTTTTAAGCTTGAGTAACACTTTCGATGAAACTACAATATTAGAATCATTTTATTAATAATTTGCTCGACTATTTTAAGCTATATTTTTATTCTAATAGGAGTGATTAATAGATATTTTCAAGCAGCGTAACAAAATCATTGTATCTTATATCAGCCTTGCCATCAGGAAGTCCCCGTTCAACGATCCCTTGAAAAGCGGATGTGGGTACTTGATATTCACGTAATGTACTATTGAGGCCCAAATCAACGACAAGCTGCGTGATAGCCTCAGCTACTTTCAGCGATTGTTCGCGTGGATCATTGATCTGTTCATGTGGCGTGAGCTTCGTAATAAATGGCAAGAGAGATGCGAGCTGTTTGACTTCATTTTCCGGCAAATTTTTGGCTTGAATGGCCACGGTACGAGCAAGAGTTAAACATGAGCAGATGCCATGAGGAATTCCAAAACTGAAGAAGAATCAAATATGAATATTCTTTTGGTAATAATAACTACGTTTATTATTGAAGATTTTTTTCGAAAGATCAATATTTGTGCATCTCCTACCTATCCTTGAATGCAGAAAATGATTACGGACAATCCAGGATTTGAATTTCGTTGTTTGGGGACGATCATTACAGCTATGAGACACCTGATTGAACGCATACAGCAGCCTCACCATAATCATACTTTTTTTCTTTTCTATCTATCATTCAGCGCGGGGCTGCTATACTTTCGGCGTAACGCTTCTCTCTCCCTCTTGTTCATATAATGCCATCTTGAGGGTGTGGGCGTAGTAATAAAGAGTCACACCCACACCCATATGTCTTGAAATATCTTAATTCGCATAGATCCTGTTTGTGTCCGAAGACTATCCTTCTCACCATATCTACTATATAGGTGTGAAATCAGCTAAGCTATCGAGTGTAATGAAGCGTCGTGGATGGTGGAAGCTATACAAAAGACTTAAGATATAGAGCAAAGAATCCTTAGGTATAATTCAACAAATTGAGAAGCTCAAGAAGCGATGATGGAGTTTGTGCTGATTATGTGTGCCATAGTGGTTCATAAAGAAATCAGGTATCCAATGCTTAGACATCACTGACGAAGTCTTACGCTTTGAATGACAATAAATTTGAGAGATTGAAGATTTATTCGTGAATCTGATTCGCAAGAATGATCAAACTGCTCTCGAACTGTAGCGACACAAGAAAAGAACAACATATGTATCGATTAAAATCGCCAAACAAACTACATCTCGAATGCTGAGATAATTTTTGTCTCAAAACTGTTTTCTTAGTTCGAAAACGCATTTTTCATTACAGCTACTTAGTTGCTCATTGATGATGGCACACTATTCTCAAAAGGTGGCTGCTATGTACATTATCGCAAAAACAACGCGTAAGCATTCTCAGATATGTGAACAACGGAAGCAACAAGAAACTTACATGAGACTAGGGGTGGCACTTTATCTTTGTTTTACTTTGAAAAACTAAAGTAAAGTAAAGTTCTATACTTTACTTTACTCGGTAAAGTAAAGTTGGGTCACTTTGCTTTACTGGGTAAAGTAAAACTCGACAAGAATATTTTTCACAGATAGATAAAAAAAACATACTTTCTCAACTTTACTTTTTGCAAATAGAGTGGTAAAGTACTTTACTTTACTGGTAAAGTAAAGTAACTGAACTTTACTTTACCCGGTAAAGTAAAGCTGGGTAACTTTATTTTACTTGTTAAAGTAAAGATAAAGTGTCACCCCTACATGAGACATGAACAAAGGACTCTTTAGTTGGGAACGCTCAGAACGCGATGAGAATGAATGCAGCTTATTTCAAGGACACATGCCATTCACTATACGAGTGCGCTTTACTATTTGAACTACAGCAAAAAGTTCTCTCTCGACTTACGGTGCTCCCAGTTGATATCCAATTGAATGTGATGGTCCCAAGTAAGTAATACGATCGTCAGACCAAAGACTCAGCCAAGCACCAATGAGTGCTCGTTGTCGAGCCTCAACGTCTTTTTCATTTTTGTGACACGCTCGCAACGATTCGAACAATGTTCCTGCCGCTTCTCGAGCCAATGCCCGAACTGGTAGAGGAGCACTTGATCTATATTGTTGCTCAACACAATGATCCAGAGCTCGAATTCCCGCTAGTTATAAAGATATTATTATATGACTACTCGATATTCAACGACTTACTTGAAAGCCATAAGCGGTTTGGTGTAAACAGTGACAAGGTGGCATCGAGTATCACCGCAGATGAACCGATATCGCTGCTTCTATGTGCTATCTTTTTCCCATTTTCATCTGAAAATAGAAAGATGATATGTGCATGGGTTCTACCATGTCAACAGCAAAAACTACTTAGGTCGTACAAAAAGTTCTAAGAACATTAGATAGTATTATAAAGATAATGAGATATTTACAATTTTATTTTATCAAATGTTGAG